CATACAGGCCATTGATTTTCAACATTTCTTTTCCACCAGTTACTCTAGCCTGGGGTCTGGGCGCCTCATAGGACTGAGTAAAACATGTGGTACTTCCCCTCTCCAAAGAAACAAAGTAACTAACTAAAGCCCAAGGTCATCAGAGCACATTTAAGAGCCAAACAGGGACAGTGAATGCAGAAAGTAACTTCCTGCAGCTGCTTGCCTCCCTGCAGAACACAAATCCTCATTGACTGGAGACTTATCTGCAGCATGTGGTGGGAACATCAGCTGAATAAATGCCCTGATAGAAGAGTTGAGCCTTTGCTGCGCTTGTAGGAAATGAATGAACCTTTTCACCACCAATTAAGTTCATTTGAAGCACTGATGTCTCCCAGCTGAGATGAGATGCAGCATATCAACTAATCTGCTTCTTATAAAGAAGAGGTTTCTGTTCTCTCTCTCCCTTTCTTCTAGTAGTATTTAATGAAAAATACAAATGTTCCTTTATTACCAAGTTAGGAAACCTGTCCATCATAAACCACACAGATAAAGAGCGCAACATGTACATATGTGCCTGGGAATGTGTATACATGAATACAAATGCCTGCACTTGCTGATATCTGTATCTGGATATGTATTTATATCTCTGACAGTTTCCATCTGTTGAAAGTATAATACCAGGAATAAGCATCTGGCACTGTTTTGTATTGCAGGGTCTTTTGACAGCTGATGCTAAGGGATGCTGTACCTTTGGGGATTAAGGAGTAGTTAATTAGGACAAGGAAAATGTACTGCAGAACATAAAATTCCTATATTGAAAGCAAGGGTTTCAAGGCATTCTGATTTGGTTTTCATATGGCCCTAGAATCAACCCTAATTTAATGTTTTCAGAGGGATCCCATCATCATGTTTAGGGGAATTTATGCAAGATAGTAATAATGTTTCTTAATAATTCCACATCCAGAATATTATTACACATCCAGAATTGCCCAAACACTGAACACAGAGAGTCACTGAGAAAAAGTTCCAGAGAAATAGACTGCAAGGGGTAGAAGGGTGTGCTGTGATCTACCTGCAGGTTAATGTGTGCAAAACATTGCAAGCAGATGTGACATTCAAGCCATTCAATGACTAAAATGTTTTCGTAGCTATTCATTGCCCAGGTTAGAAAGTGCTTAAATTTGCTGTATTAAAGTTGCTGCACTTACTGCACTTATTCAGAAACCTTGAAGGACTGTCTTTGGTCATCCGTCTTTGCGGCTATTTGATGGGTAAAGAGTGAGAAATGAAGCAGGCATTTGGAATATTATTTTCTTCTCTTGCCAGAGCAGATCATTCTCCCATGATCTGAAATATAAACAAGTTTAGCAAAGGAAAATCTACCACCTTTTCAGTCTCACATTATGCTGGGCAGAGACACATTTCATTGTTACTCATTGCTTTACAAGTGAATTATTCCCAATTATAACCAAGTACAGTGTGTAGTTTGGAGACATATCAAATAGGTTATCTTCCTCTAAGGAAAGTGGGAAAGTTTGCTGTTCTTTAGAGCTAGCAAATTCAGAAAGAACATTTGAAACCAGAAATATATTCCAATTAATGAAATCTGTAAGGATATAAGTGTAAGGAAATAGTCTGGTCTGCTTTGCTATGCGTATTTACATACACAGGTACACACACACACACACACACACACACTTTTATTTTTATTTCATACAACCATTTGATTCTTAGCAGACATCAAATAAAATCCACACAATCACTACTTTCAGATATTTCCATTTTGTCACCTTGTTTAGTATTCTCCAGGATGTTAGTATGGTATTTTGGGGATTTGGATTGGATTCTTAGCAGGACTGTGTGGAATTTAACAGTGGAATCATATTGTCTTTCAAGCCAATGGCATAAATTTTTAGGAAAAAAGCTAGTTCCACTATTATAAAACACATCAAAAAATTAACTTAGAGGAGTTACATATGCATATGCAGATGTCTTTAATTAATCACAGGCTTCATTTTAAATTCTCTAGCAGCCTTAATTTCTGACTTCTCATTTCTGAAGTCTCCTGTTATCTTTGTTGTTTTCCTTACTATCTGCAGTACCTGACATTTGCCCCTAAAACATGGTTGGTGCAGCTTTACATTAGGCTACCCCAAATTAACTTATGAGACACCATATAAACTTCTCAGCGTAGAAGTTCTCTCTTCTCTCTTCTGAGATGAGAAGACTAGGTCATTGGGACTAGCTCAGCTCCAATATGATGAGTGAAAATATTTATTGCACCAAGTAAATGGGCATCTATGTATCATTTCAGGTACCACTGATGCACAGTTGTGTTCAGAAGTAAGACAAGAAAGAATCCCTACCACACAGCAGCACTACAGAAGAATAAACAAATCCAGAGTTGCTGAGTGAGGTACACACAGGAAAACAGAGGCACAGTAGAGATTGGTCAGATTGTGTATGGAGAACTCTGAGGCCTTAATTGCAATCAGCAACTGCAGCCTTAGCAATTAGGGCATGGATTCAGAATGTAACCCAAACTACAGAGCTGCCTTCAGCAGCTCTCAGAGGGGTAAAGAGGAAGCCACAGGATAATTCCAAAGGCCTGCTTTGTTGGTAGTGGAAGTAAGGCAGCAACTGGTGGCACCTAAAGGAAGATTACAACCTGTAACCTCTCTGAGGGCTGGCCACTTGCTGACTCAACATGAGGCTCCCTGCATCACCTCTGAGTCCCTCTATCCTCTTCCTCCCAAGTACTATGAGCACCAAAGGTAGTAGCTCGACACCTGTTTAATTTTGCTCAGTATTTGAAAATCAGCTGATGTGTATTGAGCCTCATTCATTAAAGTTAAATTAATTAATATTATGATTAACAGTAATGAATACAGCTTCTAGAGTGTGGAATTTATTACCTTGGTTCTTTGGCAGCTATCCATTATTTTAAAACTGCATCTGTTGGCTTTAATTTTATATGAGAATGTGAAAGAGTATTCCTCTTTAAGAGAGAAAACAGTATGTGATATACTTTGAAAATTCATGTCTGTATATAGTACTAATACTGAAGATGAACTTGATGTCTAAATTAAAAACAACCCAGATGTCATGTTCAGAGCGAAGTAGCAACATAATAAAAAAGTCCAACTGCACCACAGTAGAACAAGGGAAAGAAAATTACTGACTCACTACATTAATGTCTTTAGGATTTTTCAGTGCAACATAAATGTACATGTTATTAATGGTTAATATGAACAGCTGGATTATGTATATTCTGGCACTGGAGGTGTCATTTGTCTCAGAAAGTGTGAGAAAAACAGAGAGTTTGATAAATGTTCTAAACAAAGTTTGACAGGATCTCTCTTGAATCTATTAATACTGTTGGTGAGCAACAATCTGAGAAAAACCCTACACAAAGTCAGGTTCTAAGTCTAAAAATGCTGCCTCTTCTGTCTACAGATTTTAGATCAAGATTTAGAGTACTCTAGTAATTTAAATGTGTATAAATGTAACAACAGAAAACGAGTTGAAATGCCTTTTACAAGATCTTTTCTCATGCATTCCAAAAAGGTACGTATTACTTGATTCCTGCTTTATACCTAAAATCCTGACATCAAAGACAGTTTGTGGGAAAGAAAAAGCAAATATCTACATTTTAAAGATAATTTTAAAAATAATTACTTCTTAGGTTTCAAAGCAGACCACGGAATAACAAATAAATGAAAAGCAGGTACTTTTTTTCCCCCAAGGATGTTTTTTACTGTACATTTTGTAGCAAAAAAAAAAAAAAAGAGAAAGAAAATTAAGGGAAAATATTTTGATCACAGGAATATCATTATCTAAAACTCCAAGTAGGAAACATGACAAATACAAGATCAAGTACACAGCCATGTCACAATATATCTCTGAACCTTTAAAAAAAATACAATTTTTTCATGTGTTATTTTCTCTGTGCCTTGTACACTTTGTCCAGCTCCTTTACAAAATCATAGTAACAATGTGGAATTTCAGAATGGTTCCCCAACAGCTGATCAAACAAATAAATAAACAAATGACAGGACAATTGCAATAGCCAGCAGAATGCTATAAATCGCAGTAAAATTGGTAAGGAAAATAAATTCTGCTGGATGGGCCATGTGTATTTCTACAACCACAGAAATGCTCACCAAAAACCAATCTGAGAATCCATTTACAAACCCTGAAGAGCTCCTGTTATAAGTATCTTCCTGAGGATGAGAGACAGGAGTAGGAGTGCATCAGACTGAGGAAGGGCTATATGTTATACAAGGGATACATGGGACATCCCCTGCTCTGAGATACTCAAATTTAACTCAGCTTCTGTGGCTAATTTGGAACATAACCAATCCCCTGAAATATACAAAAATTTTATTTTTCTTGATGTTACTGATACAGACAAGAGAGTTCAGGAGCTACTTTTGCTTTCCCTTTCTTTATCCTTTATTAGGGTATCCTGATAACTATTTTCCCCATCTTTGACAGCAACATCCCTACAGATATAAAGATCTGCTGCAATCTGCCTTGAGCATTGACAAGAAGAGGTTATGAAGAAGATGGATGAACGAGGATGATATTTTTCTTTTATTATTTGTCCCTAGATTTAATTTTTCTTTGGACAAAAAGGGATAATATTAGAAGTGGGTTATACACTACATCAGATATTTGACCTTTGTACACATCCTCTTTTCCATCTGGGGGATATGATGAGACTGAAAACGAAACCAAAATATGCATGAAAACATACCTTGTCTTGTGGGAAAAAAACAACTCAAAAGCAGTAACATATCAAAACAGAACAGAAATAATTGAATACCAACCAATAGTCCATCCAACAACAAATATTGTTTGCCTAGATGTCACAGTTAAGACCATGAGATTATGCTGAACAGTTTACTCTGATTTGCCCCTGTGGGTGCCATGTCTGCACTTTTGAGAATCCCTTGCAATGACAACCTTGACATGGGGGACTTCATCACATCTCAGTGTTGCACCTACCCAAAAAAGAGGTACCATTAAAAAAAAGAAAGAAAGAAAGAAGGTAAAAAGAAACCCTGTAAAATTAAATTTCTGCTGTTAAACCCCTTTTCATCATCCTTGTTTAGTCTTGTGTGAAGGTTCACCAAGAGTCTGAGCAATTTATGGAAAGCAATGTTAAATACAACTAGCAAATTCCTTGAAACATTCACACATGATTTAGCTGGGGCCAGACAAGAATGGTACCATATGTGCCTATTCACATTTCATGACCCTCTTTCTCTTTTACTATTCCTGTAACTTGCTTGTTTGCCTTTTTGGCCAGTACAACAGAAAATGTTTCCTCCCCTCTCTTTCCAAGTTCATGGCCCTGAAGCAAACAATGTTTTATAACACATGAGGGGAGAAGTGGGGAGACACTGATATTTACACTGTGCTTTCCATTACCCACTCTGAGCTCCCGAAAATCCCTTTTGCCCCTGTTAGGTCATTGTCATCATACTGCAAAAGCATTCCATTGACTGAGAGGCTCCTCTTTGTCCAAATGTTGGTTATCTTTTTTGGGTAGGTGCAACACTGAGATGTGATGAAGTCCCCCATGTCAAAAGAATGGCTACGTTTAGTTTTGCCCTCCAGAGGCAACATGAGGAAGCTGTGGATATTGGACTCTGTCTGGCCCAGCAGTGGCTCTTTGTCCGAGTGGCGGGCCACGGTGGAAGTTCTGGAGTCTGTCATTTCCTCCTTTTTCTGACATTTCAGTTCCAGGGAGGCAAAGGCTCCCATTAGCCGGTCAATATTGTGTTTTGACCGGGAAGGAGGCCTCCATTTACTGGACAATGTGCCCTGCTCACTTTGGAGACTGTAGTTGTCACAGTCATGGCTATTTGCAGAGCTGGACGAAGAAGAGATGCTGCTCCGTGCAGATTGACAGTTAAACTCCTTAAGTTCATTTCTCACCACCACTTTGGGATTGACTTGGGGCAAGACTCCGTTCTGAACTAGTTGTGCTCCATTTGTCTGTGAGTAGACGTTGCTGACATTAGACATCTTCCCCTGGGAATTGTTGCAGACCTTATATCGGACCATGAGAATTACAATGAATACCAACAGAGTTGCGACAATGATGCCTCCAATGATCAGAATCATGGTCCCACCCAGGAACTGACTGTGTATCGACTGGCACTGAGGGTAGTCTTCTTTGGTGAAGAACTGGGCACATCCCACAATATTGGTGGCAGTAAGGGTTGTGGCCGTGTCATCCCACATTGCCAGGACGCAGAGGTCATAGCCTGTTCCAGAAACAAGGTTGGTTACAACAAAGGCCTTGTTTGTAGCTGGTATCATCCTTGAAAAAAACAAAACAAAACAAAACAAAAAGGAATTGGTTACTCTTGACACAAAAGTAAAAGAGAGAACAGAGATTAGAATAAAGTGATGTTAATTGTTCTGAGTACTAGCAGAGAGGAGCCATAAAATTAAGAGTCATAAAATTCAAACAACCATTCCAGCTTCCCAGCTCCTGAGGGTTCAACATCCCAGCATTCAGTAACATGCAAGTTTTGAGGGCCAGCTCTCAACTGTGCAATGAAAGGAATAAGAAAAAACAGACCAAATTAAACTAGGGATTCTTTTTCTCCTCACTTGCATCTGTCCTAATCTGAAATATATTCAAACCTGAACAAATAACTCAGAATAAAAGCATACAAAGAGCAGTTCTTTCTGCGTATGCAAATGACCTCTGTGCTTGCTGAGTCTCAATGTGGCAGTTGTCACATCACCTCACAGGTGCCTGAACATTTACTGTTTAACTTCAGCAGTTACTTACCTTGTGAAGGCAAGGGTCTACACTTAGTTTTCTCATTGACTGAGAATGAAAGGCAGGCAACCATTTCTCTTTTTTTTCTCCACTCTCCCACTTACTTTCCCTATCCTCCTACTCCCCACTGTGGGAGTAAAATGCTGCATAAAAATACATCATCATATTTGCCAGAAATTTATCACTGCAACCACCTTCCCCTTCGTGAGTGAAAAAGAAACACTGGAATTGGCAGTACGGGCTGTGGAAGTGTGAGGAGAGGTAAGAAGATAGGCATGATAAAAAGATTTCTTTAAAATAAAAAATTCTACTCATGTATAAATTTATTTCCAAGAACCAAATAGCTAGACCAAAACTGTGCTCCATGTTGGGACATTTATGGACATTATTCTTTGCTGCCACAAAACTTAAGCAGTCATTTGAACTCATGCAATATTAGAACATCACTAGCATTCAAAATTAGCAGATGGGAATAAGCATGGTCTACCCCCATTTCAAACTGGTGAAAATTGCAGTACATTAGTGGAACACAGTGGAGAATCTCAAATTTGGTGCCTGGTGGGTAACCAAGAATAACACCAAAGAGATATCCCATGCATGTTTTTCATTACTGCTACATTACAGGCTTGGGTGAGAGAAAAAAAGCTGAAATTAAAGCAGTCCATTATGCCTTAGATTTGCAGGTCTTTTGCACCAGCAACAAGGGAGCCCTATAGGCATTTAAAACACAGTGAGCTGGTGTGACTATTTGGGATGGTAAGGCCTGGGCACAGGAACAAGGCAGATTCCTTGTGGGAGCACCAGGCTTCCTTAGCCTCAAATCATTGCCACAGCTAGCAAAAACTGCAGGTCTGCAGAGTACCTTCTGTGCAGTGGGAGGGAACAGACCTGCATAGAGAAGCAGCAACGTCAAGGCACTGCAAAGATGACTTTCTGATCATCTTTGCTTTTATGCATTCACACCACTTACTCAACCCTTCAGCCTGGCCACAGGCAAGGATGTGGCTCCTTTTTAAAAAGCAAACAAACACAGAAAAAAAAAATCTGTAAGGAAAAGAAATATCAGTGAGAGACACTTGGAATATAAACATCATCTGGCAGGTTTACTCAATGTTGTATTTGAAATTCTAGGCACATTTATCATCCTAATGGAGCTGTTTGACACAGATATAGATGAGCTATTCAGAATGAGCCGAGAGGTCATAAAACAGCCCTCATGAAACACTCCAGATACTGTTGCTAAAATGGTTTCCAAAAGTTGAAATATTTGGTCTCAAGCTATTTATAATTGTTCTGCTCCCCCTGCGGCTCTGGGAACAAAACACCTCTGCCCACAGCAGACTGCGCTTTGTTGAGTTGTTCAAGTATATATGCACACACCACGGATGATATACGGAATAACAGAATACTATTGATTGTCAAACATTTCATTTTAAACCCTTAAATAGTTTCACCAATTGTTTCCTATCTCCTTGTGTAGTGCTATACTCCACTTTTCACCACCACTCCCAGACCAAAGCTAAAAATAATTCTGCAGTTGTTAAGTCATTCAGAAGTTATTTCACTGTAAAATCTCATTACAAACAAGTTGCACTGTTAGCAGAAAGAGTAGTCAGCCATACAAACTAGGTCTTGGACTTGGGTCATAACTCTTGGAAAAACAGGACTATAACATCATCTGTTAGAGTGGTTCCTTTGGCTTTGCACTGATGAAACACAGAGACAAGAGAGATCACTGTCTCTGAGCAAGCAGCAAACACCTGCGTTTACACACTTTATAGCTTTGCACATGTCTGCTCATTTTTGTATTTATACTTCCTCACCACTTACACAACCCATCAGTCTGGCCTCAGGTAAGGATGTGGCTCTTTTTAAAAAGAAAATGAACATACAAGAATAGAAATACAGTTGCTCAGTCTCACACACTAATGCCCAATTTCAGTGAACACTGATAGTCCAAGTAATTTACAACTTGTTTTCTTCAAACATAATTACACACAAGTTTACAAGGTAATGTAACTGCATAGAATAATTCAAGGACTGGCAAGTAGTGAATAGTGGCAAGAAATGTATAGCCAATGCATTTTTGAATGTACACAAGTGAGGCTATAACGATTCCCAAAGCTTGGACAGGTTAACTGTGTTGAAATGTGTTATAATAAAAACCTCATCTTAGCCTTAAAAAGAAACTGAGTCATTTCTAAATTCAATGAATCCTTGAAGCTACATCTATGATAATACTGGGACTAATAATGTGTTTTTAAAAGGTTACAGTCGCAATTCCAATTAAGGAAAAAGCATTTAACTCTCCTATAACCTTAGATGTACATCTAAAATGAAGAATTTTGGATGTTTCTGTAAATAAACTTTAAATGCTCTTGTAAAATTTTCAGATTATTCTGCTAAGGAACTAGCTAAGCATAGGAATAAACAACAATTTCAGGAGTGCTAGAAGTTAAGTAATTAATTTCAGATTTTCTTTTCTATCTTGCAGGAAGGCAATCTTGTTCTCTTAAACTTGCCAAATTTTAAGAGTATTTTGGCATTGTTCCATGCTTCAGTCTACCAAACAAATTGCCAGTCAGATTTGATGGATGACATCTCTTAACGCTCCCCACATCTAAAATCGATGCAGTCACATTTTAATTCTAGGATATTGACGACTCTTTCTTTGACTGTCCCAAATACAGGTAGCTGCAAGATGCCACTTTGATCTTTGCTTTGCTGCCTAAGAGGGGGTGTCTCTTCATGCCTGCTCCATGTGTGCAGTGCAATTAATCATGGACCACCGTGCCCTTAACTCTGGGACTTAATAGCACAGGGCTGCTATAAACCTAAGAGGGGCCAATAAAACTGGCAGAGATCTTGCAAGGCTTTGTTCAGTCCACTCATCATCTAAACACAGAAAGTTGGTTTCAGATAGCAACGATCTGGTGCATTAAAGATCGAAAATAGGTTTTTAAAGTCACTAGCTTTTGGAACTCAGAAGATCCTGGTGTTCACTTGCCAGCCCTCAGATAACAAATGTGCTTAACAGTTGCAGTATCTTGAAGCAACAAGCTTGATATTGTCCACCTGCTCTTCAGGGCAGGGTGACATTGCAGAGATGCTTCTTATCACAAAAGAGGAATAAAGATCTAAATTTGATATGAGCTTTTCTTTAGGAAAAAATAAAGTGACAGTTGGCTAAGTGCAGGAGGAGATCAACTAACAAAAGACTTGCTTATAGATTATAGGTTATGAAAGGTTTTTATCTATCCAGTTTAAGGAGTCCTGGAGCAGTGAGGACTGGGGAAGCAAACACACAAATATGTCAATGGCGAAAGTGTAAATTTAGCTCCAGCCAGGTGAAGACAAAATTTGAAAATCTTATGGAAATTTCACTGTCCAGACACATAAGACACAGTAATTTCTGCCTTTCTCATTTGGTTTATTCTCTGGAGTAGGAGGAGCAGGCAAATATCTATATTCCTGCCAGGATTTTGTTGTCTGATATTAATCTAGCTTCATTTTAAACCCTTAAATAGTTTCACCAATTGTTTCCTTGTGTAGTGCTATCCTATCTGAAGGTCAAAATATCCCAAAGAAAACTATTCATATATTAACAAGGTTTCTCTCTGAAAATCCTGCCTCTATAAGGAATGAAATGAGGATAGGGGTCTTACAACTGACCTTTTCAATTTACAGGAAAAAGCCCCCTTCTCTCACTCCTTGGTACAATAGCTTTAGTTAATGGAAGAGGAGGAGTCCTATGGCCAGAATTGGAGCATGGCATAAGTGTCTGAAATAGAACAACAGTAGACAGATGCTCCTTGGAGAGTTAATGTGTGATGAAGAGCTATGAAGCTGTGAAGGTTTGCAGGGCTTTTCCAAGCAATGCATTCCCTTCAGTCCATGGAGATTTGTGTCTCATTTTGTGAAAGCTCCAAAATGAGTCCATGAGACACTTTTTTAAAAAAGGGAAGGAGAGTGACAGAACTCTTATTTGAAGTCAATCTTATTTTGAATCACCACTAAAATGTCCTTGTTATGTCCTTATGGACACAACATAAAGAAAGCAAGCAATTTTGTAATTATTCACTTTGGTGTGTGGTGATATTAAGAAAACTAGAAAATAAATTAGTTAGAAATGCAGGGGAAAAAGGTTTGATGCAGACTTCTATCATAATCCCAGATGTAAGTGAGCACTGAAGCTTGCAGAGAGTGAACTGTGCTGAGAATTTAGGATAATTGAGTTTTATTCTTCCTTCATCAGCTTCACTGATATCAGGCTCCACTTTATCAGTAACTCCCAGTTCCTGAGAAATCATTTTGCCGTACTGTAAGGCTCCTCATTTATAAAATGGGGATAATACTAGCAATCTCTTTTCAAAAGAGGTCTGTAGTGTATTGGAAGAAATTAGTAGATATTGTGATTACACTGTAATATACAAACGGTTCTTTTCTTCTAAGTAGCACTGGGGATTAGCAGGACTGAACTGCTGGTTAATACTGTGGTTATGCAAAACAGACAATTAGACAAAATCCAG